TCAACCAGGTCAAAAAAATTCAGTTTCGAGAAAAACGCGTTACAGATTCAACTCTATGCTCCAGGTGTGCGACTCAAGCGCTTGAGACCTTGTATAAAGCGTCCGTTTCAATAACTTTTCGGTAACATCTGAGGCTAAGGGTTCAAAGTGTCCACAACTGGAACAAATTTTTTTTGGAAAAAAAGTACCTGGCTCCACTCTTAAAGTTCTTCAAAAAAGACTTAATTTCACCGTTTACTCATTGTTTCGAATAACACTTCTCGTCATTCAGCAATTTCTTCAAACTTGAAAATCGTAAAAGCTTTCTTTGTCGTGTTTTTACTCTCCCGTGTTCTTACTACAAATATACATGCCTTACTCTTTTTAAAGTATTACTCTTTCTTTCGTCTATTTGACTAGCCATAAGATTAAATAGAAAACAAGAAAGCCAAGTAGCGCAAGTGTTCTTCTAGTTCAATCCGAGAATATTACCTAAATTTTATCGTTCATGTCGAAAAACATGGTAAGTAGGAAATTTGTTGAGATCTGTCACAAAACAATTACCTCACACATGCTAAACATATAGTTAAACTTTCGAAGAAATCAATAACCTTTTCAGACTCATAGCCACATAACATGGCACTAACTCCTTGATTAACTTCAATATGAAAATAATGCGTCAGTTAATCTTTGAATCCTGATAAAGTTTATTTAAACTCTGTACTTCAACCTCCAGGAAGACAAAAATCTATAAATAAAAAGATAAACTGACTTCTACATATCTTTTCTGTATCGAATGAGCTACTATTACCTATTACAACTTCTTCTCAAAGATGCTTATATACCAAAAAAAAATTCCTTGGCCCGAAAAGAATGCGAGTTGGTGTCGTTTTTTTAAAGTCGACTGTCATAGAGGACGTCTAATTTATTATATAGTAAAGCATTTCATGGTATTTCAAAATTATGTATTATAGAAATTAAAGGAGACTCTTCTATAACCCTTCTAAACTCGAGTTTATTTCTGTTTGACTGCTTTTGGTAGAGAGCAGAAGAGAAGCTGCGTTTGGTTCATGAGTTGCTTCAAACGCCAGTTTACTAATTGCCAGCCAATCAAGCTTAGTACTAGACCAATATGCCCTTTCAAACATTCCAATCTTTTCTATGGTCCATTTACATTATTTATTAGAAAAACCAAATCGATTTTTTAACGACTAGCTTTTGGCTATTAGAAGGCGAAAAGGAATGTAGAAGAAACAAGTAAGGAAGGGCTAAGTTCGGATGTAACCGAACATTTTATACTCTCGCAAAGTCAAATGGTATACTCGTTTGAGATTTCTTTGTGGATTGACTGATATTTTCGGTAGAAGGTCAACTATAGGCACTGGGGTCCACATATTTAGTACTTAGGGGTTTGAACAGTTTTGGTTCGATTTAGACAATTTTTGGCCGCAAGGTGGCATACTTTAATTGCATTATTCACGCAAAGTTTTACGCCGATATAATCATTGTTGCTTGATTTGCATAGTGGAAAGTGAAAGAATCAAGTGGTATTTAAAATGGTGTCATATGGAAAATAGGCGTGGTTGTAATCCGATTTCGCCCATTTTCGCACTATGATATAGAAACATGAAAAGAACGTTACGCACCGAATTTGGTTGAAATCGGTTAAGCAGATCTCAAGATATGGGTTTTCACCTAAAAGTGGGCTGTGCCACGCCCACTGTCTAATTTTGAACGCGGTTTCTATAAAGTCATCTTATACCATCTCAGAGATAAAATTTAATGTCTCTGGCGTGTTTAGTGCTTGATTTATCGCGCTTTTAGTAGTTTTTAACAGTACCGTTATATGGGGAGTGGGCGGAGTTGTCACCCGATTTCAACTATTTTCACACCGTCAATAGAAGTGCTAAAAACATTTGCTTCCAGTGAATTTTGTTATTATAGCATTAGCGGTTTAGGAGATATGCTAAGAGATATTACTTACTCGAGTTACCTCATATTTGAGTTTCCGAATAACCACTATCCGTTCATCTCAGCATTATACGTCATGAATCGTAAATACATTTCTTGTCGATGTTAAATCTTCACCTCACTCTCCGTGTTTACTTACACTTAATCTACACATACCATAGTATAGCTTAATTCGCATTATCGTCATTCTTATTTATTAGCTATACTGCTTATACATTATATCTCATTATTTCCAGTTTCATTGACCAATAAAGCAGGTGATTAGCTTTGGCCACCATTGAACGCAAATTCTAAATGTATGGAAAACAAGAATTAGTCACAAGGTAACATGACAAGTGTTCTTTTCTAGTTCAATCCGAGAATATTACCTAAATTTATCGTTCATGTCGAAAACATGGTAAGTAGGAAATTTGTTGAGATCTGTCACAAACAATTACCTCACACATGCTAAACATATAGTTAAACTTTCGAAGAAATCAATAACCTTTTCAGACTCATAGCCACATAACATGGCACTAACTCCTTGATTAATTCAATATGAAAATAATGCGTCAGTTAATCTTTGAATCCTGATAAAGTTTATTTAAACTCTGTACTTCAACCTCCAGGAAGACAAAATCTATAAATAAAAAGATAAACTGACTTCTACATATCTTTTCTGTATCGAATGAGCTACTATTACCTATTACAACTTCTTCTCAAAGATGCTTATATACCAAAAAATTCCTTGGCCCGAAAAGAATGCGAGTTGGTGTCGTTTTTAAAGTCGACTGTCATAGAGGACGTCTAATTTATTATATAGTAAAGCATTTCATGGTATTTCAAAATTATGTATTATAGAAATTAAAGGAGACTCTTCTATAACCCTTCTAAACTCGAGTTTATTTCTGTTTGACTGCTTTTGGTAGAGAGCAGAAGAGAAGCTGCGTTTGGTTCATGAGTTGCTTCAAACGCCAGTTTACTAATTGCCAGCCAATCAAGCTTAGTACTAGACCAATATGCCCTTTCAAACATTCCAATCTTTCTATGGTCCATTTACATTATTTATTAGAAAACCAAATCGATTTTTAACGACTAGCTTTTGGCTATTAGAAGGCGAAAAGGAATGTAGAAGAAACAAATAGGAAGGGCTAAGTTCGGATGTAACCGAACATTTTATACTCTCGCAAAGTCAAATGGTATACTCGTTTGAGATTTCTTTGTGGATTGACTGATATTTTCGGTAGAAGGTCAACTATAGGCACTGGGGTCCACAATTTAGTACTTAGGGGTTTGAACAGTTTGGTTCGATTTAGACATTTTTGGCCGCAAGGTGCATACTTTAATTGCATTATTCACGCAAAGTTTTACGCCGATATAATCATTGTTGCTTGATTTGCATAGTGGAAAGTGAAAGAATCAAGTGGTATTTAAAATGGTGTCATATGGAAAATAGGCGTGGTTGTAACCGATTTCGCCCATTTTCGCACTATGATATAGAAACATGAAAGAACGTTACGCACCGAATTTGGTTGAAATCGGTTAAGCAGATCTCAAGATATGGGTTTTCACCTAAAAGTGGGCTGTGCCACGCCCACTGTCTAATTTTGAACGCGGTTTCTATAAAGTCATCTTATACCATCTCAGAGATAAAATTTAATGTCTCTGGCGTGTTTAGTGCTTGATTTATCGCGCT